TTTCAACTATTACTAAACAGGTCTTTGAGAAAAAGTCAAAATGGGACATAGAAGATTACTTTCACACTTGTTCTCTAGCATGGAGTATGGCTGTGTTATTTTCACAATTGTAATTTGTTTTTTAAAGACCGGGTGGTACTCTTGGCAGATGATGAAATATATATAGTCAGTCTTATAAAATCTGAAGTTGACTCTAGATGTCCACATGCTACCTGCTACCACACTGAATTCCTTCTGAGTGGCTTCCAGACAGGTGGACAGGGGCTGGAGGGCATTTTATGTTGACTCTTCAAAAAGACACGTGAGGCTTGGCATTTCCGAACACAACCAACTACCTCACCACAAAGAGGGAGGACAATTTAGGGTCTTTATCATCATGGTACCCTACAGATTTGGCTATGGATGGCTGACCCTCCACACGGGCCTGAAGCTAGCAATGCCCACCATCGTGCTTGCTCTGTTCCACATCTGGAAACTGGGGGACCCCTGAATCGAGCTCAAGGAGATTCCCTCTCAGCCCAATATGCCATACCCCAGCTATGGAAAACTGAGTCATGGTTGCTTCAAGGAGGTATAGGAAGCGAGTGACTTTTGTGTCAGGTGATGTAAGCTCAGAGAGAAAAGTTTTTTTTCAATTCAACAGCCTGGGGATTTCTGAGCTTTGTAGACGCTGGCAGCCAGGATCCCTACGTCCCACAATACAGAGGGGATGCTGAAGAACGGGAGAGATCTTATTTTCCACAGTATTCTAGTTTAGGGTAAGGGAAGACCTTTTGGTAACAGCATTGTTTAAAAATGAAAAGTCTTTGGTTTCTTGCCTTCCCCTTAGGATGACCCCAGTTTCCAGTTTCTGGGAGGTGACAGACCTTCAGAGACCCTATGGCTCTAAGACTGAGACCACATGTCAACGTGGCCCTAGTGAAGTCTCACCTAATACCTGGCTGCTTCTGCTGACGGGAACACCCCATCTCCACCAAACCACCCGAGTGCCTCACTGGGCCACTATCTTGTTTAAAGACCGTAACAAGGGCCCACAGATGGCACAGACTGGAAGAGCGTGGGCATTCAGGGGCCCTGGAAACAGACCCTCTACCTCTGAGACAGGGAAACTGAGTTTGGGAGAAGGGAAGACCCTAACCCCAGGACACTTAGTCATAAGTTCAAGACAGAACATGGACACTTCTACCCAGAAGGCTATGCCAATCCAGTGACAAGAATGCTGGTTCATACGTATTTCCTGGTGAACTGGTTACATTTCTGATACGGGATGCCATCTAATTTGAAATGTCTACACATCCCCTGCCCAAATGTCACCATTTTGATTGTTCTACAGTCATTTCACATGTTTTATTATTTAGTCTTAGTCAACAGCAGTGTTTATAACATCAAGCCATACTGAATAAAATACGCAGATCTGACTCAAAATTTTTACTCAAATGACAGCATAGATATTCGAGTTCTCTAAGCGTTATCACTGTGATTGTACTTCAGACTACTATGCCCTCACTATGCCAGAATGTCTTTATTTACTGGTTAATATTAGTCTAAGAGGGCCAGGGATTTAGCTCAGTGGTTCTGGCACCTGCCTTGCAAGCGCAAGGTCCCGAGTTCGATCCCCAGTAACAAAAACCAAAAAATTAGTCTAAGAAATGAAACCTTGTACATATATGGTCACTTCCAACATTCATTCATCCAATCAACAACTACTCAGTGAGCCACTGCCTGCGGTCAGAGCTGTTTTGCTAAGCACTAAGCATAAAGGAGAATGGAACTCAGGCTCTCCGGACTCATTAACACCACGAAGCATCTCATTCTCAGCCTTTAGGCATCCACTCATCAGCCCTGGCCCTCTCCCACCTTTCTCCGGCGCCTGAGGTTCCTTGAAACCCTGCAGGGCGATTCTTACCCCAGGGCCTTTGCATTTGTGTTTTCTTCTTCTTAGAAAACTGTTCCCTCGGCCTTCTTCAAGGGCTCTGTTCTGCTATCACTTCCTGAAAGCCAATTCTGTCTAAAGGCAAATCTTTCTCCACCCCTGCTCTCAGTCACCCCTCATTCTGCTTATTCTTCTCCAGAGCCCTATTCATCACCTGAAATATTTCATCTTTGCTCAGGATTTGTTTTCTGCCTCTCCTGGTAGAGCTTAGGCAGGAAGTTAATCTTTTCCAGCAATGCATCCCCAGAGCCTGCAACAACCTGGCTCAGAATGGATGTTTATATGCAAATGGAGAATGAATGAATGGATGAATGAATGAACTGACGCCTGACAGTATGGAGTGCTTGGTACCTCCCTCCCGCTGGGCTTTCTGTGAATGGCAACCTCAGCTATTCAACCCCACATCCAATCAGTTTCTGGTTCTGGTGACACTGAGGCTTCTTGCATCTACTCCTTTTTTCTACCCATTCAATCACCCCCACTGCAGACGCCCATTATCTTTCACTTAGACCACCACCTGGCCTCCTCCCTAGGCTCCTAGCCAGCAGGCTCTCTTCCTCCACCCCCTGCTCCACCTGGGCAGCCAGATTGAGTTTCCTAATGGCAAGTGTGGCCGTGTCTTCCCCCTATTCAAAAGCTGAAGGCCACCTCCTTAGCTTTGCACTCAGTGGCCCCAACAACTGCCTCTGCCCTCCTACCCAGCCTTCCTTTCCATGATTCTCCCATCCCTTTGGCTCCAGTTGCAAGGAACTCTTTCCAGCTATGCACACATCCTGGAAGTCCTCACTCCTGTCTGCCCTTTGCTCATGCCACTTCTGCTTCTTGAGTGTTGACACTAGATTAAGATTTTTTAAGATCATTCGTGTTAAGGTACAAAATATCAGAAGGGTTCATGGATGTTTTACACTGTCTGAGCACTAAACCCAGGAATATATCAGTAGGAGAGGAATTGTTTTGAGAGAGAGATGACTTTGAGGACCTAAAATCCCACATCCTTGCACGGTCTGAACAAGGGAAGAAGCGAAGGGTAGATCCATAAAGCTGGGGCCTTAATGGCATTGATAGCTACCAATTCCTAGCTTTTTCTAAGCCCCAGGCACTGTGCTTAGTAGCCTACATATGTTATCTCTTTAAGTCTGGAATTATTCCCACACAGTACAAGGAGAAAAAACCAGGCCCATCACAGTTATATAAATACGTGCTCTCCCCCAATAAATAGTTCAGTCCTGAAAATCTCCAACTCCATAATCGGATTTTTCTGATGGAGAAATTGAGATTGCAGAGAAGTTATACCCATTTACCGAAACCTTATAGCCTGTGAGGAGGAGCCCGGGCCTGGTAGAAGACCCAGAAGGGCAAATAACAGGGTCACCATCCATAATGAAGCTTGTGGAAATGGCACCTCCCAGAGGACAACACCATCTACGAGGGCTACAGGGTCAGCAGCAGTCCCTGGAGTGATGCCTTTGGCCACCCTGGCTGTGCTCCATGCTGAGCTGCTCCCCCGGCCCCGCCAGAAGGAAGCTCCTGAGTCCTGAGAGCCCCAGGCTCCTGGAAGTGGAGCACAATTCTCCTTGCCAACTGTCCCAACTATGGTCTCCTTGAGAAGGTGGTGATCGACTGCATCCATTCACTCTCCAGCCGGGGTTGCAGTCCCCAAACCCACCTCTCGGGGAGCCCTCTCTGCACCAGGCGTCAGGCTCAGCTCTGGGGACACCTGGCTGCCCTTGAGGGAGCCTTGTGGGGAGATACCACCAAGCCCGGCGTGGCTGCAACTCAAGATTCCCTGGAAGCTTGCCTGCAATACCGAGAGGCCACACCTGACACACCCAGGAGAAAGAGGAGGCAGCCTAACTCGGGGACTTCCACAAAGAAATGAAAGGCCTGGCTGGAGTGGAAAGGGCCTGCTTGGGCCCTGAGGCAGGGTAGGAGAGTGTGGGGGGGCCATGGAGTCAGGTCAAAGTGGGGGAAGAGGATGAGTCCTTGAATGCCACATCACCTGGTCCAACTGAGGACACTTGGGCTCCATGGCTCCTAGAAAAGCTTGGACTAACACTCTGGGATCTGATCTCTGGTTCAGGGATGCCTCCGTTTCCCAAACTGAACCCCACACCTGGAGAGCTTGCAAAACAGCTCTCCTTTGAGGCTGGATGAGGAGGCAACGAAAGGCCAGTTTTCTTTTTTCACACAGTTAGATGACAGCAAAGAATGGCACCTGCCGCTCCAAGTGGGGGCAGGGCTGGAGGATCCACGGTACACTCAGGAAAATTTTGGGGTTCGGGGGCTTCTTTGGGGACAAGGTCTACTTGTGTGGGGGGGCAGGGAAATGACTATGCAAGCCAAGGACCCCGGATTCTAATGTAGATTTACCCACTAACTCTCAGATGACCTTGGTCAAACCACCTCACCGGGCCTCAGTTTCCCCGTCTATAAAATGCAAGGGTTAATGAGTTCCCACGGTTCCGCTGGTCCTGACCCTTTAGGACAGTGATTCTTGATAAGGGAAGCCCCCCAAGGCTCTTATGGGAATCCCTGGGTTTTGCAGGAGCCTGGGCCTCATCCAGGAAAATGCAATATGCTGGGGGAGGGAAACGCGCTGGGCTTTTATTTTGGGAGTGGGTGGGACGCGGGTGGCTAAAGCTAAAGGGTCAGGAAGGCGGAGCGGTGAGGAAGCTGGGTTTAGAAGCCAGCAGACTAGCGGCGATTCCGGCCTCCCTCCAGGGGTTCAGACTCTAGAGAGAAGATGCAGCCAGGAGCCGCGCACCAGCCTCGTACGCAGAGGCTCGGACCTGGACCACCGTCCTCATACCTCCCGGAACCGCGAAAGAGCTTCGTGGGGAGTGGCTGCCGCTCCCTCCCGCGCCAAGCCCCCTCCCCCACGCCGGGAACCCCTCCCCCAGTCCGGGGGCGCCCGGAGCCCCATGGGGGGCGTGGCGGGGGCGGGCGACGGCTCCGCGGTCCCGAGGGCTGGAGGAGGTCTCAGTTTCGCGGACTCCCCGGGAGGGACCCCGCAACCCCCGCCTTCCGGCTCCGCACACAAAGGCGCCGACGGGGGCGCCGCACTTACCGGCCAGAGCGGGCTCCGGGCGCCGGCGAGCGGGCAGGCAGGGTGGCGGGAGCTGTGCGCGCGCGAGGGTGCGTGTGTCCCTGTGTGTGACGGGGCCCGCGCCGAGCTCTGTGCGTCTGCGTGTGCGGGGGCGTCCGGCCGTCGGTCCGTCCGCCTGCTGCTCAGGCCCGCGCTCCGTGCGCGCTCCCTCGCCAGATCGCCGGGCCGAGCACGCTTCAGCTGCGGAGTCGCCGGCGCAGTCGCCGGGTCGGCTCGGCACCCCCAGCCCCGGCTCCGCCCCGCCCCCGGGAACTGCGCAGGGCTCCGCGGGGCTGGCGGGGTGGGGGCAGGGGCGCGCCGGTGGCGCCCAGGGCCCGAGGGGGCGGATCGCAGACCTTCGGCCTCGGATCTCCTCGCAGGCGCCCCCCACCCGCAGCCACTCGGAGAGGAGTCCCGGCAGGCCCCGCCCCACGCCAAGGTGGCTGGGGCAGGGAGGGCGGGGGAGTCGGAGCGCAGCATCCGTTTCATTCATGATTTTCTCCTTCAGGGAGCCCCGGGTCGGGGCTGCGCGGCTACGGCGACCGCCAGAGGGACTGCAGCAGGGCCGAGCGCCCCGAACCTGGATCTGTACAGACAGGCATACAGACGTGGGTAGAGGCACGCGAGACAAAGGGGTCCAAGCTGGGGGGAGGGGCAGAGGGGTGCAGACGCCTGCAAGGTGTGGCGCTGACCTAAGATGCGGACTCCTGCACACGCGGGGCGCTCCTGGGCGCACGGTGCGGGATGCCCAGCACCCGTTCCGCACTCGGCAGAGGCGTTCGTTTTCCCGCCCCTCCCGGTGCACTCCCCGGGGGACAAGAGCGAGTGGACACCTCTTCCCCCACCCAGTGGAGCCCTCCTGACTTGCGTCGCGGGGCGCGCACCTTTGGTTTTCCGGTGGACACCAGGGGCCCGGACGTTCAAAGAGCTGCCCATGCGCCCCCAATCCCACATTCCCCAGGCGGGCACCCCGCTACCCCGGTATTACCCCCGCTATTACGTCTCGATGGCGGCTTTTTGAGGCAGTGGGCTGCACATGGAGCGCGGGTCCTACACCCCATCTTTGCGTGGGGAACCGAGGAGAGAACGCCACACGACTTCTTAGCCTGTATTTCTGCAGTATTCTCTTTCCCCCTCGTCTCCCAGGCTCCACTCTTGGCCCTCTGCAGTAGATTCTCTACTGCCACAGCAGAGCTGAGCGATCCTTTTAAAATGTAAGGCAGATGACCTTGTTTCTTTACTGGAAATCCTACCGCGGTTCTCCGGTTCATCTCAGTAAAGCTAGGCCCCCTGTAATGCCCCTTCACAATGGGTCGGGTCCCTTTTCATTCTCTGACCTCGCTTCCTGCCGTTTTCCTGCCTCCCACGTGCCAGCCCCAGCCGAACTGGCCTTTCTAGTGCCTCGCCGGCACGGCAGGCACGCCGTGGCCTTAGGACCCTCGAACAGTTATTATATGGATCCTCCGGCCGGGAATGCCTCACTCCCATGCCTTGCCCAATTTTCAGGGTCCAGTTTGAACCCCGCTCCTCCCCTGGGGAGCCACTCTCTGGTGTGTCCACACTCCCGGCCCTCCTTGCTTTGGGTCCGCTGCGATGGAGTTTCCTTGTCTTTTCCTCAAGCTGCAGTTCTCCCCTAGGTTCCCTTTCTCCTAGCAAATGGGGCTGGCTGTCCCCAAAAATGACCTTGAAAAGCGGGAGCTGCCTCCCGAACGTTCGTAGCTATGTGCACAGCTGTCAGTGTGGATCATGCTGCCTGTCTCAAAGTGTTAAAACCGAAAATATGTCTAGAAAATGGTAGAGTTTCAGAAAAGATGTTTTTTCAGCCCAGCGTGGTGTTGTCCGCCTGTAATCCTAGCACCTGGGAAGTCTGAGGCAGGAAGATCGCAGCAAGTTGGAGCCCAGCCTGGGAAAGTTAGACTTTCCAAGACCTTGACCTTGTCTCAGAGCGGGAGGGAGGAGGTTGAGGATGTAGCTCAGTTTGAAGGCTTTGAGGTTCAGTTTCCATTACCGCCCCCCCATCCTTCTCTTTGCTTTTTATAGTGAGTTTCTGTTAAGTAGAGCTATGCTTCAGCTAGTCTTCTCACCTTGCTCCTGCCCTGTCCCCCTTCTAACTGAAGCTTCAGATTCCTACAGCTCACAGATTGTCACCCTGGGCTGCAGTTAAGAAAGAAAGGTCGAACACTTATGGAAGGCTTCGCAAATCAAGCGGCGTCTGTGGCTTCTCCGAGTTCTCTCCTCTCACCTGCCGGAGCACTGCAGGAGGGAGCTACTGCCACCGCCAACCCGGAAGCTGCGGCCCAGAGAGGCCCAGGGCTTTGCTGTGGCCCCAGTGCTTCCTGGTTAATGGCAGGAATGAGATCCCAGCCCTGCCCGACTGTTCAGTGGGCCTCCCTTCCTTCCTCACCCCTTCCCCATGGAAAGCGACCCCGGGATTTCTTTTCTCCTCTCCAGCAGGGGCGCAGGAGAGTTCTATGAGGTCCGTGGCGATGGCGTAGTAGGTCAGGAGGATTCAGGAGGCTTTTTGAGTCATTTTGTGTGACTCATTTACCCTCTGTTGTTGGTGGGAGGAAGAAGGGTTTGGGAAGGAGGAGGAGGGAGAGAGAAAGATGGTCCGAGAAGCCAGACTATCTTGCTGGTGGGTTTTGATGAACTCTCAAGAATTAGAGTCAGTATTTCTTGCATATGGCCTCACTTGCAATCCACTGTGTTAGTAATGAAATGTTTTCCTTCGGTGAAAATGTTCTTCTGTGCAGACTTTTATTTATTTTCTCACTTATTTATAGCCCACCTCAATCCATAAGGGATTTGAGGTAGCTTACCAAAGAAGCAGAAAGCAGAAAACAATGTTAAAATATCAATAAGGGTGAAGAACCAGGACCAAGGAAAATGTAAATAACCTTTGAGAGATGAGAGTGAAGCTCAATAACTACAGACAGATTTTTTTGAGTTCTTCCTGTGTGCATAAGAATTTGTGTAATTATTTCACTTAATCCTGAAAGGAGCCCTATGAGGTGGGTCTTCATTTCAAAGCAGAAGGAAACTGAGGTTCAGAAAAATGAAATCCGATGTGCAAAGTCTTGTGGTAGAGCCTTGAATCCAGTTTGATACTTGAACTCACGCCCTTAGCTGCTGTAGCATTTTTCCTCACCAAGGGACAAGAGTCCACAATCTGCCTTGATCTTTCCTTTTATGATGGTGTATTTTGCCTTTCAATATATACAATGTTAAAAGATTGCATATTTCCTATGAGAGGGTGACTAAAAATTCATTGCAATAAAAGACACATAGCCATCAATCCCCCTCAAATTACTCCAAATGCTCCCCCTCACTTTGAGCACACATCCCGTTGTTCTTGGCAATATATCTTTTACTGTACTAAGTTTTTAAAATCTAAACATTCACTGTATTTTTCAATCACTTCTTCCCTATTGCATGTCACATATGTTCTGTAATATATTCTGTATTAATAAATTTATTTTTGAATTATGTTAGCTCTTTTGCCTACTTAATATATGCACTATTTAAAGGTCTGTCTTTCCCCAGGAGAAGACAGGCAAAGGTCCACATTTCCCATCATTGATGTATTCTAGGACAATGCCTGGTATATAGTAGCTACTCATTCAATGTTTGTTGAACGTTAGAATGATTATTTCAGAGGGGGAAGAAATAGACCCATATATCCGAAGTGCCAAAGTAGGTTACTATTTTCATTAGCTCAAACTCTCCCCTCCCTCTCCCTGTATTTTCTTCTTTTCCCCCACTCACTTCCCTGAAGAATTTGGGGTAGGTGTAGCACTTAGTTCTAAGAACAAGTCTTCAGGAGTGTTCTGATGGTGGACCCTTAGGATTCACGTTGCCCATAAATGGGATTTATGAACCTTATTTTGGTGAGATCTCTAGTTGAAAGCTAGGAATTCACCTCATACCTTTTAGGGGTCTAGGAATAGGGCCCAAGTGCAATATTTCAAGGATTTGGAATTTAGGGCCGATGCTATGATGATGGAAATGGGAAAATAAAAGCAGAACTTTTGTAGGAAATACTTGATTTGAAAGGAGAGGCCATCACGGTGTTCTAAGATCTCACCCTCTGGACTTGTATTTCTTGGCTGTGATCCTGAAGGGTGAAAACCTAACCAAGGACATTGGTGAGGTTTCTCAGAGGGGAATCTGAGCCGACACCAATTCCTGGGATGTATGTGATTTGTGTGTGTGTGTGTGTGTGTGTGTGTGTGTGTGTGGTGTGAGCTCCTTGGAGAGGCTGGCTACAGATTGGGCCGAGCCTCTGGGAGAGGCAGACACCAGCCTTCAGCTCAAGGTGAAGGTCGAGGTTGTCCGGCTGCCAATCTCAGGAAGTAACACTGGAAGCACTTGTCTCAGGAGGCGTGAGACTCAAAGCTTTGTTGGTCGTGTGGTCATTGTTTGGGGCTCCTGGAAAGCACCAGCACAGAACAGGTATTTTATTGAGGGCCTACTCTGAGCTCACGACTGCCGCAGATGTGGGGTACACACTGGTGAACAAACAACACCCCTGATCTCCAAGGGGCTGTTAAACAGCTGACGATGAGCCAGGTTTAAAAAAAAAAGGAATCACAGGATCATGTCCCAGAACGGTAAGTGCAGTGAAGAAAAGAAAAGAGGGCAGGTTGATTGGGATAGAGGTGGAGAGCTGCCACTTTAAACGGGGTGCTCAGAGAGGGTCCGTGAGAGGAGAGAGCATTTGCACAGAGATGTCGCCTGTGAGAAGGACCCACCCCTCAGGATAGGGAGGAGCTTCCTGGGCAGACTTTTCTAGGGATGAGTGAGAGGTGAGGGGGCTAGGAGCGCAGCAGCCTGATCACACAGGGACACGGGGGCAACTTGGGTTTTATTCTAGTGTGCTGCAGAGCCACTGGGAGTTTGATGAGAACTGGATGTGGGCTGTGGGCATCTAGAGAGCGGCTGCGTCACAGAAGGGCTGAGAACTCTGCCCTGCTGTGTTGGAGGGGCCCTCAGAGGGGAGGCCATTTAGCCCAGTGCTTCCCTACCCCTGGAAAATCTAACTTGGCGGGATTAAGGTGAGGCTCAGTGATTTGGCTGGTTTTTTTTGTTGTTTTTATTTTGAGACAGGGTCTCACTATTTGAGTTCAGGCTGGCCTTGAACTCACTGTGTAGCCAGGTCAGCCTCCCAAGTGCTGGGGTTACAGGTGTGTGCCACCATGCCCGGCTCAGTGATTTTTTAAAAAGTTCCCTGGATGTTTCTGCTGATTGGCCAGGGTTGGGGACAGGCAGTGTCTTCAAGACCCTTCCTTTTTGGAGGGGGCTGAGGTGGGGGACGGGAGGTGCCTGTGTGAGGTCGGCAGTGAGCTACTGCCTGACTGGCAGTGCGGGGTCTCTAGTGACCAGCCACAGACAGGAAGTGGTTCACCTAGGCAAAGGGAAGCTCAAGGAGGGAGGGGGAAGGGCTTGGGAAGGTGGAGGCTGGGAAGCTCCAGAAGTTTGCAGGGTGAGAAACCTTCCCACAATCACATTCAGAGATCCCTACAAGGATGCATGAACACTCAATTTTGACCTTCTTTTAGCCACTCATGACTAAGTTCCAGGAGAGTGAGAGTCCAGTTGGCTGAGTTCTGCTTGTGAGCTTACGGCTA